GACTGAGAGTCACCTTTCGACTGCAAAGGGTTAATTCCTAGATTCATATGCTGATACAGCTTGGTTTATTTCTAAATCACGCTGTATAAACCTAGAACCAAGTCATGAATAGCCTCATTGTCAAATCCAATCCACAAAAATTTCCCTTCACTTGGAAATAGCTAATGTCAGAAATTGTGTTAACCAAACCTCTACTGTAACCGAGGAAGAGAATTCTATTTGCCGAGATGTCTTTGGAAGTAGAGTCTATCTGCCAAGGTCTCTTTCGAAGAAGAGTCTACATACCAAGATCTCCACCACCCTTGAGACATCCAAAGTTGAAACCCCATTTTATTTGCGAAACCACGATTGTTTACGGACCTAATCCGTGAATCGAGGACCAATGTAGACCAACGATTGTTGGTCTGTGAAGCCAACCGGTGCAAATAATTCGATCGAAAATACCAACAGGACGGTAGAGTTCTGTGTTCGGATGTTCCAATTGTTGGTGCTACACAATCCTCGAGGAGACTGTGTCCGTGTTGGATATGTAGCGAATAATCACTCATCGTTAAACAGTTACGCACAAACGCTTACAAGGGAACCTTACGGTCGTGCATATCGCTTTTGGAATGGTAGTAGGTACAAGTTGTAGTACATATCTATTAGGTTGGAAACTAAGTGATTGCGGATTTTAAATAAGAAGGAAAATACAAAATTTTTTAGTGAATCTCAGATTTTGGCGTCGTCTGGGCTGGTTCATCTTGCATCACCCACGATCTTTTCCGATTAACGTTGTTATAAACTATCCACTTTTCGTCGCCAGTTATCAGTCGTTTCAGAAATCGATCAATTTCGTTGCGTTTCAGGAGCGAATCGCAGATGCTAATGCGTTGCGTCAAATGAATTTCCTTAAGCTGATGAGGGATCCATAAATCGAGTTTCTTGACATAGCCAAGCCGTTTTAATTTCTTTCGAATGCATGTATGCGACACATTGAGCTTCTCTGCAATCTCACGTGTCGTGCTATGACGATCTGAATCGATAATGGCCTTGATATGAGTCTCATCAACTTCAACTGGACGGCCAGATCGTTGCGCATTTTTCAGTGAAAAATCACCAGAATGAAATTTGGCAAACCAATTTTGACACTGTCTTTCTTTCGAGGCTTCATTCCCATATACGGCACGTAACTTCTTGCGTGCTTGCGATGTGTTCTTGCCTTTTCGGAAATAAAACAATAAAATATGTCCGAAATGCGCGTCTTGTCCTTCCATTTTTAAATTGGGATAAAAACGAAACTAAATAACTAATCGATACAATTTTTCAACTAAATTAAAGGCGGAAGTCCAAACAACGAGAAAACAATATAAGTTAGGTGCCTTGAACACGCTGGCAAAACAAAAGAATGTGCAAAAGCCATCTATTGACAAAATCCGCAATCACTTAGTTGCCAACCCAATAGTATCAAGAAACCCTAATGGGTTTCTTCACAGTGGGCCTTCGTTTTCCAGACACTTCGATTTTACGTTTTGTATGCAATTAGTATGAATTGACTAGTAATGAATCATTTAACAATCTTTACCAGAGTAAATTTTGGGTTAGCCGGTGGGACAGTTGATTTAGAAAACTGTAAGGAGACGTGTCAAATCTTTGTTGTTATTATTATTTAGTAACTAAGTTAGTTGACGAGTCGCTGAGATTGACTTAGGAGCAGCGTGATTCTCTCACTGAATGAAACGCAACTAACGGTCTGTTTGGAGCAATGTCTTCGCTCTTGAAGTGAATAAAGACTTGTTTGAATGAAAGTTCACTCCTGAAATGAACGAATGACTGTTTATTTGGAGCGATGTCTTCGTTTCTGAGATTGAGAAACGACTGCCAATCTTTCGATCGATTTTTCAATCTTTCCATTCGACTTGCAGTGAAAAAGTGGTTACGAATTGTCAAAAGAGAAACTTTCTTCTGATGGCCAGTTTGTTAGACCAAGAGTGGGCTCTTGGTCCATGAATCAGCCACTCCCAAAGAAGGAAGGAACGTCTTCCATGGCAAGGTTGCTGGTGGATGAGACCCCTCTTTCAGAGTGAGGCTATTGGAGTGTCATCCACGCGTTGTTGACCCTTCGTGAGAGGTGCCTCGGCGATGTTACCTTTAATTTATGGCGTCGAAAGTCGTAACCAGTGCACATGGCCTGGTCTTGACTCGCACAGGCCCATTATCAGCCAAATGCCAAGTGCTGTTGTGTGGTTTTTTAAAATTAAGCACTGAAAAGTGCCTCGTGCCCAGTGACTCGAGAAAATGAAGAACGTTTTGCCAAAATGTGCAGTAAACGGATAAAATGGAAAGTATGGAATGCAAAAATTAGTCAGCATTTAAGATCTGACTGTTAGAAGATCGTAGCTAGTCTTCTAAGCCTGGGTTCTGTCCCACGATGAAACAGCGTAAGCTATTAAATCATAAACAATGATATTCATAAGAGGCACGTACCATCGCTATTACACGAACTTCATTTTTATTGCAGAATAAGATTACAATAAAGAACAGACTATAGATAATCGAAAATAGGACTTATGCTGACAATAGACTCTTCTCCCAAAGTATCCTCCAATTCTTTGGAAGGGTAAGCATACCTTTAAGAGTCTCCTCGTCTATACTAAGCAGATCTGCAGACGGCTTAGGTTTTTGATGGCCACTTATAGTCCATCCAACGAAAGGAGGCACCGGCTGCGCCATCTGCTGGTCGTGATCAGACCAGGGCCGACTTGGAAAGAAGACGTGCAGTGTGAACTCTGAACGTTCCTTCAAACTCTTCAACGTAGCGTCAAGGGGAAATCCATTAACGAAGGAAAGTCTTAAACGATACTGATGAACTGACTAATGGATACTGATGAACCGACTGTGGATTGCTAAAGGGAAAATCGATTTTCCGATTAGTGGTTGACAGGACCGAGGGTGGGCCCTCGGTCCGCGAATCAGTTGCCCCAAAGAAGGGAGGAACGTCTTCCTCGACCAGGTCCGCTGGTGGAGGAAACCTCTCCCTCAAAGGGGGTTGCTGGTGGGCCACCAGCACATTCGTGACCCTTCTTAAAGTGACCGTTACTTTATGGCTTCGAAAGTCGTGACATCGCACATGGCCTGGTCCTTTCCTTTGCAGGTCTATCGTCAGCCAAATCCTAAGTGCTGTTGCCTGCTTTCTAAAATCAATGGCTAAAGAGTGCCTCGTGTCCGGTGACCCGAGGAAAATAAAGAATAGTTTGTAAAGCTTATTGAAAGCTGGAGAAAATAGAAATATCGAAATTGAAATAAAACAGCAATTAGGATCTAGCTACCAGAAGACCCTAACGAGTCTTCTGGGTCTGGGGTTTGTCCCAAGATGGGAAAACGCGTGTGACTTAATAATCCTGAACAACGAGTGATTAAAATCATAACATTGAACGAAGAATTTGTAATAAAAATTTGGTAAACAGTGTTTTAAACCATTTAGCTTTAGGTTTAGTGTTAACTGATCACGCAGGCATTGATGAAAACATTGGTACCTCGTATCTTTATTTTAATTATAGCGATGATAGAAAGGTCGTGGATGTGTTTCGCAGATGCATAACCCGGTCAGCGAGATGAGTGAGTAAAGCTAAACAGACGTTCGTGAGAAATTCATGTGACAGTAGAAGATAGACTATCAGATTGGATCCACGCATGGAACACGTGCATTCGTTTCTCTTTTCAGACTCGTCTCGCTGACCTTCCAAATAGAACAGTTGAAACTGAGGTCACCGTCGACCTAGGTTCGTCCCTCGATATCTGACAGGTGTGACGCCGTGACACGTCGACATATCTGCCTGGCAAAGTCCACATCGTGAGAATACGTCACCCTGACTAGAGAGAAGTTTGACCAGGCTTCAAAACTGAGATTAGCCTAGGTGATTTTGCACCATCCGTTTTAGCCAATATTTTTTAACTAATGGAACACCATTTTCTTTGATAGAAGTTATTCTCATTTCATGATCTGAAATAGTCAGCCTTATGCTGTTCTGTCCCAGGGGCCATGTTTATAGCATAACTCTTAATATATAGCATATTTTGCATATTTGCATATAGCAATTAGAGATGTGTAGTATATTTCTAATTTTGGATAATTCTAACGATTTTATTATTTTGTATTACGACTTTAAATGTATTACGACTTCGAAGGTTTGACGTGCCTCGTTGCCCTCTCAGTGGATTGAGTCCTGTACCTAAATGCAATGGTTCAGGAAATTGACAACATTTACAACTACCAGACTACAGACAGATTGGACTAAGACTTGCACTTTTAACAGATCTAGCGGTTTACAATATATTTTATATTGCGACTGCAATTCCGGAGGATAGATGTGCCTCACCGCCGTTCTAGCGGATTCAGTTGTAAAGGCAAAGGCGAAAGTTTAGGAATTTTTACAAGTACCAGACTCGACAGATGGGGCCCACGTGTGACAGACCCAACAAGCGACGGACGGTCACCACTTATAAATCACGTCGTTGACCATCAAAAATCGGCTCCTTGACAGTTTCCTACTGCTTAGCCAAAGGTCCTTCCGTCACACCCTCTGTCCAATTAAAACTCCTTACTTTTCCACCACCAACGTTTATTTTGCCCAATCAGAACTAAACTGGAGAAAACACCGGACAGGACACGACGAGACACGACATAGATCAAATTCGGGAAATCAGTTCGTCTTCGACACCGATCCTTGAAACATCTTACTTACACGTATAAACGCGTGTTCGAAACGGTACTCCGTTCAACGTCTCCATCCGTTATAACTATTCTATACTTTTCTATAAATAAACGCTCTCTTTTGACTACACACGCTGGATCCTTATTATTACAACTAGTCACGCAATATTAATTTGGCGCGTGATAAGCGATGTAGGACATCGAAGGGATTCGATAAATAGAACGCTACAGATGTGTTTGCTTAGAAGCTTAATAATTTGTCGATGCTGAATCCATAATATGTTCGTGAATTCCTTTGATTTTGCAGGCTCAGTGACAGGGATTCCTGGTGTTCCGGAAAATATAACGGTGATGTTCCTGAATCCGACGTCTGTCCGCGTTTCTTGGAGCACCAGCCAGGTCGATCAAGTTGAGAAGTACGACGTCACGTACAAGCCAACTGATGCCAGGTGCGTTCTACGGATTTCTCTGTTCCACACGTTTTGTTCTCTTGCATGTGCATAATTAACGAGACTTCTTCGATTCATTTTCCACAAATTAGCATGATCTTAATAGCATCTCGACGTATAATTAGAAGTTTCGAATAGAAGAGGACAGGTAATCACGAGATGGACGTGTAGCTAGGATTTGGAACATGATTCTTCGTTTAGGTCTTTTGGTTTCTTAGCTCTTGACATACCAAGGTGTGAGAATTGACTTCTTGACAGCAGGGACTTTTAAACTTTTTATGGTTTTATTATTATTATTTTTTGATAAATATTATACACTTTTTCACAAAGTTAAGGAATTAATTTGGACTGGAAAATTGTCGATCTTTGAGGGACTGCAATTTAGTTGAGAGGAATCGTACAGAAATACAGCTAGGCTGACTTTAAAGAGCGAAATTTTTACTTTCACATCCCTGAATTGGATTTTTGAATAACTCTTTATTTTAACACACAGAGTAGAAAGCAATGGTACCTTTTTTCTAATGAAATTTTACCGATTTAAATGATTCTACGGATCTTGGAAAATTTTAAAATTCTTATCGTGATTCCTTTTTACAGTAATTTTGTAGCAAGATTCTTTTTTCAATAATTATAATACTTGGAAATTCATTTACGATTTTTTCTCCCTATTTCATCGCACTTTTGTATAATCCTCTTTTGTGCTGCCAGTATTAAAATTACCCTTCGATTTTCTTCGCTTCGATTTCCAAAAATTTAAAAATTAAAAATTTTTGAATCTCATGAAATTTTAAATTTGGATATGGAAAATTTAAAAATTAAATTCCAACTCGCACATTCTTTACTACTCCATTTTGTCATCCTATGAGAACAACTCATTACCTATACCCTAAATAAAAATCTTGCAGGACTCACAGTGGTTTCTCTATTTTTTTTCTAAAAATCATTTTACCTTTGTCCTTCCCTCTTTCTGTCCCTATTTTCCGGAATTAGTGACGAGGTACATGGTATTTTTAACAGTCGTCGATAGGCATCAAGAAAACATGTATCTGAGTCCTTGTATGTCTCCACCTTGATATGCTAAGGGTCAAGTATGAACGATCAAAAGGAGAACGAATTTCTATTTATACGAAAGTTCTTAGTATCTGCATGCTTGAAAATTTTATTTCGCGAAATAACCCTTTTGAATTATTTGCAAACATAAATTTTAAAAACGATAATCTAAATATTTTTTAAAAAATATTAATACAATATATTACAATGGTCTGTGCAATTGAAGCAGGTTATACACTCCCTTTGATTTAAGGAAAAATGGAGACGAAAAAGTTGAATGGTTTAACCAGATCTATTTCCCTACTGTGCAATTTTGTCCCCAAGCGAAGCACTGTACTCGCACCATTGTCCCTTCGAAGGAATTCTTTTTCCCTGCAGTCTGCGAGAATGCATTTAGGTGACACGGTCGAGAAACGAATAAATCATGAAAATATGGTTTAATAGAAATTATGATAAATTTATGTTGCTTTATTCTGCGGTATTTCTTTCTTCAAAGCGTTTGGGTTTCACTGTACACTGTTGGTCGTATGTATCAGCACACTCTGCGAGGAATAATAATGAAAGGAACGTCTCTAATTTCTTATGAAACTTTGAATAATATTACTGGATTCATCTCGTGTTATAAAACACGAACGATTTTATGTAAATGAAGTACAAACCTGTGCATTGATTGCTCGGGAGACAGATTTTCCAAATTATGCATGCAAATTATGAGAAAAGAAATCAATAGAATAGCAGTGAGCATTCGTAGGGGTAAAAGGCTAGGTTTTTCAGGAGACTCTTTCATAAGAGCAAAACAGATGAAGGTCGATAGCATGAGTGAGCTTATAAGAAGGATCATAGGTGCACTTATTGCTGACAGTAGTTCAGAGAAAAAATATTCCAAGCTGAATAATCGAGATGAAATATTTGTCAGATATTCTGTCACTAACAAGAAGAGTGCAAGTCCTTGGAATCATAGATTTAGTTGAAACTTTGAAAATTTGTAGATTTAGTTATCCAGTTCAAGAAAATACTCGACTACTCGATAGTTTTCGAGATATTTATGATTAGAGTTTTATTATTGCCTTAATTACAGATTTATTTCGAATATTTGTCAAGTGCCTAAGTGACCTAATGGTGATATCCGAAAATTCCCACGCTGGTGGCAACTATAATATAACTATAATATAGATAAAAGGATAACTATTCGGAAGAAATCTGTAGTTAAGAATAATAAAGCTTTAACCACTTGCGCTGGAAAGACGTGTCACGCACGTCTTAATGCTTTTGTCACAGAATCGCCAACGACGTGGTATACACGTCGTTAGGCAATTGTTACAGAAACACTGGACCGTTCTGGCACACGCGTCTGTGAATTTCTTGCCACCGCAAGTGGTTAGTCATAAATGTAGGATCGGATTTTGGGTGGACTGACTCAAGATAGTATTGTTGGCTTCTTAATAGAATAAAATAAACTTATAAATAGAATGACGGCTATGACACAAGAGAGATTCGCTATGGGCACGCTCTTCTGACCTTTCTTAGACTGGCTTGGACTTTTTACATACTGGCTTACACACTGACTGACACACTGACTTTCACTGTCTTAGACTTTGGACACTCTTCGACTCTTCAAGACTGACACACTCTCTGACTAACGCACTCTGACTGATGGACTGTCTTAGACTTCTTACGCACTGATTGGCCTACTCGAACTACATTGAATTACGTTGAATGAAAATTGGCAGTTAGACATTTTGAATATAACCGCTAATTAGAAGATGCTTTGAAACACAAAGTGCCCCATTGAACAATTGAAAATTTTTATTAGGACATCAAAAACATATTAGAACGAATCTTGCATCTAGCGGTGCACTCCCGTGGCGTTCTGAGGGAAGCATGTGATTTCGGCGTGGCAGTCAAAGAGTTAATAGAATAAAATAAGCTTATAAATAGAATGACGGCAGCTGGCTATGAAACAAGAGATTCGCTATGGGTACACTCTTCTGAACTTTCTTAAACTGACTCTTATAAACTGAGTTTAGACTTGACACACTGTCTTTGACTGAAAACTCTTAGACTTTGGACATTCTTAGACTGACTGATGGACTGTCTTAGACCGAACTGTTAGACTGACTTGGACTTCTTACACACTCTGACTCGCCTGCACCCTTGCACCCTTATTTAAACCATTCGTTCTATCCTTTTTTCACATTCAGGCTTTCCTTCCCAATCATGCCTCTTTCCTCGCAACCTCGGTGGACCTGGTACTTCAAACTCATGCCGCAGTCATAAACTAACTTCCAATCGTCTATCGCACTCTGTCATACACATCCATTCGATCCTCTTGCACGTGGTCACCTTTGTTCTAAGTTCAAACACTCCCGACAGTCTTTCAAGGCCATACTTATTCCAATTCTACATAAATATCTCAAAAACTATGGAGTAGTTGCCCTTATAATGGTACATTTTCTTGAACTAGATGACTAAATTTACAAGCCTGCAAAGTTTCAACTAAATCAATTACCCAAAGTACTTACACCCTTTTGTAAAATTAAAAGTACCATCTTCATAAATGCACACGTCTAGGTATCTCTCTTCTCATCCTAATTGCATTGTTCATCGTTGGATAAAGAGTTTTCTAAATTTTCAATCCTATTTCGTTAGAGTGATCAGATCTGACAGACGCATTAGATTAAGTTATACTGATTCCAGTTTTCACTGGGAAAATTGTGCGAATCAACGTGGTACGAGTAGCGGTAATGGTAGCAGGAGCCATTTAGGGTAAGTGTGCCTCGGGTAACCAGTGCCTAAACAAACCAGTGTCATACGATCACTAGAAGCCACTTGAATTGCGAACCTATCAGATAATTTACTTATGGCAATAGACGTATGTCAACGTGGAATATTGAATAATTAATTTACCAAGTAATACCCACTATAAATTGAGTATTTGAATCGATTAAACGAATTAAATTATGAATATATTTGTGTAGCTTATTCGATGACAGAATTTTGAATTGTGTGACACACACAAAGTGCTTCCATCATTGAAAATAATTATAAATATGAATTTTATTGGGACAAGTGAACTATGGTTTAAAAAATTATACCAGTGAAAATCACCATCTGCAGATTACTATAATGTGGATAATTATAGAGCGAGGACGATTTATAAATTTATTAAATGCAGAAATAAAATGTAAAAAGTCATGCTTTTATGATTTTTCATATATACTATGATCAGAGTAGGTATTATTTTTTCTGCTTTCATATACATGAAGGTTGTGCGAAAATATTTGTTAGTAAACAGCTTAGGTCTCATGGACTACTGGTTCTACTCTCCTAGAATAGATCCCGTAGGTTTACAGGTCCTGTTTACGTTGCATAGGTACAGAATGTTTGGATACCGCGGGCTAGTCCAAAATAGTAACCTAAATTAACCGAAACCGTAAAAATGTGAAATTTTATATTTTTAATATTTAATAAAAAAATAAAACACCAACAGTAAAATTACTATATTAATTTCGTTACAATTACTGTGCAAATATTTTTTGGCAGTTTCGTTAGTCGATGATAGTAATTTAAACTAACCCAAAACGTAAAAATACGAAATTTGATATTTCTAATGTTAAATGAAAAACTATAACACTAACAATAAAATCACTATACTAATTTCGTTACAATTACTGTGCAAATATTTTTTGGCAGCTTAGTTAGTCGATGATAGTAATTTAAACTAACCCAAAACGTAAAAATTCGAAATTTGATATTTCTAATATTAAATCAAAAACTATAACACCAACAAAAATATTACTATATTAATTTCGTTAAAATTACCGTGTAAAAATTTATGGCAGCCTAGTTAGTCCATAATAATAACCTAAATTAATGGAAAACCTAAATAAACATAATTTCCTGTTTTTAATATTAAATCAAAAAAACATAACACTAAAAATAAAATCAGT